GTTATAAAAGTGATCTCGTATTACTAGAATTAGCGCATCATTGCATAGTACTGTCATGCACGTACACATCCATTGTTTCAAGCTTTATGACAAAAACCAAAATTTTTTGTTGATAGAAAAAACCCCGTAACCAAAGGGTTAATTGAAAAATCTTTGAAACAGTTATCGAACAATACTTTGTTGCCTTTTTTTATATCAATATTAATATGTCTTATTTGTTTGGTAAGAAGATCACGAAGAATTAAATCATCTTTAATTAAAAGATGAACAAAGATAATTATTAATTTCTATCTATTTTATCGAAATATTGAAAGAAGATCATTAGACAAAATGTTCATTACTTTTTAACAGAGACAACTAGAGACCTATGTTCTTCATCGTTCGAAGGAAAGGACAGGAAAACGTTACCGATCCGTTCTTTCAAATTATGAAGATTACAGGTCTCTAGTTGTCTTTGTTAAAAAGTTACGAGCATTTTCTCTAATGACCTTTTGTTTTAAGAATTCCCATAATAATTACATTGATTATTTTCTTAATTAATGATAAAATAACAAAATAAAATAGTATACCTGCTAAATATTGATAAAGTATTTCTTCGCAAAAATTAATAAGTGATAAAGAATAATTGACAGCAAGAAGAATATGTTTCATTGAATATTGTTCAATAGTCAGTGTTATGGGTATCTTCCCGTTTGGTCGACAAGCCCTTAATTGATCCGTTTCGTCGACAGTTTTTTTTTCCCATTTCGTCGACAGAAATTTTCTTCCCGTTTCGTCGACAGAAATTTTCTTCCCGTTTTGTCGACAGAATTTTTCGTTCCGTTTGGTCGACAGAAATTTTCTTCCTGTTTCGTCGACAGAAATTTTCATCCCGTTTAGTCGACAACTGTTGCTCTCTTTCGTATTGCGCATTTTAATAATTAAGAGTTTAGTCGACTAATTAAGGGTAGACTAGTCAATCACATAGTGAATGTTCACTTGTTGTAGAAAAGTAGAAAGCTTATTGTAGATATATTTCACTATTGGTGTTTTATAGGTGCCGATATAATCGATGTAATCGAACAAGTATACATCAGTAAGACTAGTGTGATTAACTTCTATTAGGAAGGATAATATCGAATAAGAATTCATAAAGTGGATGAATCATAATGAAATAAAAGAAACCACCACATAATAACTTACATATTCTTTGTTTCTATTTGTACTTGAACTTAACATATTTGAATTTGAATTAAAAATGCATACAATAACAGAAACTCGAAAGGGTAAAAAGTGTTTAATTTTCAATGGGTATCGATACTTACGTGATCGTATCCGTAACGTCAACACTTACTGGCGTTGTGAAAATCGAAATGAATGTCCAGGGCGTCTTACTCAAAAAGGAGATCAAATTCCTGTTGTAACCGCTCAACATAATCATGAACCAAATGAAGAAAAAATCAAACAACAAATATTTAGAACACATTTAAAAGAACAAATACGTGAAAGTTCAGTACCAATTCGAAAAATATTTCGTGGTGAAATTATTAACCGGTATTCAACTGAACCTGATAGTGTTTGCACTCTCCCCCAATTTAATCAAATCAAAAATTCTTTGTATCGTGTAAAGAATATAAATTATCCTCCACTACCAAAATCGATTGAAGATGTTTCTATTGAAGGTAATAATGTTATAAAAATTAATATTAAGTTTGTTTATGATTTTTTTTTAGGAAAGTGGCGATTATATTTAAATGGTGAAAATTTTACATTAGCTGATAATAAAAATCCTCGATATTTCGTATTCGGTACTACTGATTCATTAAAAATGTTATGTTCCAGTGATCATATATTTGCTGATGGCACTTTCAAGTCCTCACCTACACCATTTAAACAACTCTATAGTATCCATATTGAATCATCCGTTTTAAATAATACTCTTCCAGTACTTTATGCATTATTACCTGATAAGTTCAAAGCTACATATACAATATTCTTTAACGATTTACGTAAAATTTGTGCTCAGTATGATTTTATCTTGAATCCAAGATTAATCACTGTCGACTTCGAACAAGGTTGTTTAAAGTCATTACAGAATATTTTCCCTAATTCTGAATTAAAAGGATGCAACTTTCATTTCAATAAGTGTATATTTAAGAAAATCACTGATCTCGGATGGCAACAACAGTATTACTTGTCATCCAATGATGATCTACATTCTGTTTTAGCACTTTATCAACAAACATGTGCGTTAGCATTTATGCCTGTCAACAGTATTGATCAACTTTGGTGTAATATAATGGATAATTTCGATCATATTCCTGATGCACATCATTTTTTTGATTATGTCACTGACACTTGGATCGATCCGGATGCTTTATTTCCAAAGAAACTGTGGAATTACTATTCTTTTCATGGCCTCAGAACGAATAATGGATTGGAGGGGTGGCACCACAGATTAAATTCAAATGTTGGTGCCACCAATCCTAATTTGTTTCTTGTCTTAGAAGAAATAAAGAAGGATTATATTTTTAACATGGCAACACTTAAGCAAGTACAGCATCAAGAAAATAAACAACGTCGAAAGAAACAATATGTCCTTCGCAATAGAAGAATTATCAATCTTATGGATCGATATGCCAATGGCACATTAACATTAAATGAATATTTCATCAAAATAAGCAAAACGATAGGCAAAAAAAAATCAGTTTGTATCAGGGTTAATAATAATGAAAATTCCTCATGATTTTTTCTATTAGTTTCTAGCATTTATTTCTAGTTTATTTTCATTGTCTAATGTTATTTAAAAAATAAAATAAATTAAGTATTCGCGTGCCTAAGTTGAAGATAAAACTTTTACAATGATTTTTATGATATTTTATCAACNTCGACTAAACGGGATGAAAATTTTTGTCGACGAAACGGGAGGAAAATTTCTGTCGACTAAACAGTAAAAAATTTTTTGTCGACGAAATGGGAATTTTTTTTGTCGACTAAACGGGAAAAAAAATTCTGTCGACTAAACGGGAATTTTTTATAATTGGTCTTAATTAGTCGACCAAACGGGACTGAACCAGTGTTATGTACTTCAATGATGAATACAAGGTAAGATTTTTTTTCAGAAATTTTTCAAAGAATTTTAGTATCTATTGAAGATGTTTGATTATACAGTGAATTAAT